TTTGGGGCCCATAGGGAGCTCCACCGAAGGTCCCAGTGCTACCGCCCGCACCGACGGCCCCAGCGCTACCGCCCGCATGCGGCCCCCCACCCAGTACAGCGTTTCGTGGCCCCATCGGGAGCTCCATCGACGGCCCCAGTGCTACCGCCCGCATGCGTTTCCCCCCACCCAGTGCAGCGTTTGGTGGCCACATAGGGAGCTCCACCGAAGAAGATATTGTAGTGGCCTCCGGCCAGTGCCGCCGAACTGGGGCGCTCCGGATGATGATGATGATGATGATGATGATGATGATGATGATGATGATGATGATGATGATGATGATGATGATGATGATGATGATGATGATGACGATGATGACGATGATGAGATACTGATGATGCTGATGATGATGTGATGATGAGATGATGATGATGATGAGATGGTATGATGATGATGATGATGATGATTGATGATGAGATGAGAGAGATGATGATGATGATGATGATGAGTGATGAGATTATGATGTGATGATGATGATGAATGGATGATGGTGTGATGGTGATGGGAGGTGATAGATGGTGATGATCCCGCCCCCCTTCCCCCCCCTCCTCTCTCCTGTCCCCCCCCAACTCTCCTGTCCCCCCCTCTCTCCTCCCCCCCTCTCCCCCCCCTCCCTCTCTCCGTCTCCTCCCCCCTCTCTCCTGTCCCCCCCCCCTCTATCGCCCCCCCCGCCTCCCCTTGCAGAGCGCTCATTGAAAAGCGGACCCTCCCGCCTTTCCCTGCAGCTCCCGCTCCCGCCTGAGAGGGCCCCCCCCCTTGCAGCCCCCTCCCCTTGCAGAGCGCCCCCTTCCCCTCCTCTCTGCCCTCACCCTTGCAGCCGTCAAACACGCGCTTCCTGGTGGGGGGGGCGAAATCGAGGGTGGGGGGGGCAGGGGGGGCGGGAGGTACCGAGCAGCATTGAATTTGACAGTTAATGAGGTCCCCCCCCTCCCCCCCTCTCAAGCAGAGCTAAACCTCATTCTGAAGCAGAGCTTCAGCTTAGACTTCTTAAACTCACACGCCGGATTGGCGGATTCACAATTGCGGTATCAGCTGAATATGGTTAGATTTTTTACCCGGGTAATTTCAGCTTCAGGGCCATGATGGTGAGGAAGGCTCAGTCGAAACGCCCGGCCCGCCCTCAAAACTGGCCTCGGGGTGCGACAGGGAGAAGTGTTTTATAAGGGAATGGAATGGAGGACCAGGAGGAGGAGGCGGAGGAGGAGGAGGAGGAGGAAGAGGAGGAAGAGGAGGATGAGGAGGAGGAGGAGGAGGAGGAGGAGGAGGAGGAGGAAGAGGAACAAGAGGAGGAGGAGATGGAGGAGGAGGAGGAGGCCCTGCATTTCGAGGACCACTCAGAGTGACTCCTCCTCTCCTCCTGGTGTTGCGCCGCCTGCCTCCACCTTCGAGAGGGGGGCCGTCGGATACCCGGCCCAAAGCACTACGCCGAGCTCGTCAGTATTCTCAGGGCTTCGCCTCCCGTCGCTGCCTTTCCCTCCTCCCACCGCGGACGGCAGTCCTTCGCGAGGAAACGTTTCCAGGCCGAACTTCGCAGGCTTGTAGGTTGAGAGGGGTGCGTCGCCCATGGCGATGTCCTCCACGTGCTGGCAGTCGCTGCGGAGCACGATCTTCGATGGAGCTGCAGCAGCCAAAGGACGGCTGCGATCCCCGCGCGCAGCTGAGCTCGCCTCCCTGGTCGGCGGAGAGGCTCCGAGCCGTCGGGCGGGCTGCGGCAGCGCTAATCGCGCCCGCACAAGAGCGGGGGAGCAGGCGGAGGAGAGGGCGTCGCGTCACGGACGAGCGGACGAGCGACGCAGCAGAAAGAGGGGGGGCCGTCTGCGCGGACAGTCGGGCGTAGGCTG